ACAAGGTAAGACAAGGTAGGGGCTGGGTCCGGACATTAAGAAGTCATGCTATATACAGTCTGCTAAGACTATACAGAAATGTATAGCAATGAATAAGAAAACCCAAAAGGTCTATGCACGTGTCTCCTAATTAGTGATATTTCGCCCCGCCTCAATTTAGCCGTCTCCCATTTGTTGCCCAACTTTGGATTTTATACAGGATAGGGCATTTTAAGAGAACAAGGTTACTGGAAGGAGGAAAAAGAATGACACTGGAGAGTGAAGCAGTATTACCTAGTCTATAGGGAGTCCCAGAAGCAGTGTTGGATTCAAACAACAGCCCAGCATCGTAGAACACACCCATACTGTCCTTCCCTCCACCTGGCGTGCAGCCTGTGTCGTATGTCTCCACCATGTCCCATACCTAAGCAGGATGGAAGTCATTCACACACAAATATACAAGCAGACAAGTCTTAGTGTTTGCCACATGTGAAGGAAACATGTCGTTATCTATCTAAGGGCTTGCGGTTCAATCCCTGGGTGCTCCACAAGACGCTTTCCTGAGCAAAACACGAAACCCAAACTTCTCCGGATGGTTAGGCCAGTGCCCTGCCCTATAGATCCGCTGGCCGTGCGTGCATGGGTGAATGAGAGGCAATCTTTTAAAGTGGTTTGGCAGAAAAAGCATTATATAAATGCATGATATCCTAATATTTACATTTGCAAAGTATCTGGTGCAGGACAAACTTTATTCTAGACATTATTCAAATCCACAAGCTCACAAACTTGCGCACACTATGCATATTATAGTGTGAGCTTTTTCCAATGAAACCAATTCAGATACGTAAATATGAAAATGAAGAAATTACCTTTTTCTGGTTGAGGCGGTGCTTGTTATTTAGGAGGTAGACCCCTTTGTCAACTGCCACCAGACCCACTGTGGCTTCTGGATCTCCAGTGACTTTCAGACCAAACATCTTGCGAGGCTCATAGGATGAAGAACGTGTTGATGCTTCCAGCTTCAACTGAAGGAGAAAGTATACTTCTTTTTGGGAAAAATACAAATAACTTTATACCTTTGTTGTTTGCCCACTTCAACTCTTTTACATCAGTGATGTGTGTCTCACCGAGCCCATGCAGGAGTCCTTGACATCCACCCACACAGAGTCTGATACCACTTCATTGTCATTTGTATGGTAGTAGGCTAAGATGCGGAATGATGGCAGCATGTTTTTGGTAATGCTGACTATCATGGATATCAGTACTTGACCTTTTGTCCTGTAACGGCCATATTTCACCAGCTTACCTCTGCTCAAAATCTGTGGACACAAATTTAAACATCAGTATTCGACACGCATACCTACATACTGTACTACACAGGTTACAGAAAGCAACATGAACACTCAAACATGCACATACACAGGTGCAACATCTCTTACCAGGTATGTGATGTCATGTTGTGTAGTTTCCTGCCTGTTGAGGTTGAGGCTGATTTTCATGTTTTCTCCTAACGTCACTTCAGCTGTATCCACACCTGTAATGTAAAATTATCATCATGAAGGCAAAGTCTTATATGGTAGTTCACTGCACTTCTGTTAGTATTTCTGTTATCATATGTACCTATGTGGATGTAACTGTTGCTTGTCGTGCTATATGGGAGAGCTGTCATGTTGGCTGATGCTTGCCTTTCAGATGTAATACCGTTAACATCGGTCTTTGCCTAAAATTAAGAAGAAGAAGAAGGTCAACTTTATTAATCCCCAATGGGAAATTGTTTATTCACTCAATGTGTGTGTGACACATAGGCCAAATACAATCACACACAGGGCCTATAGACATGCAATTGTGGAGAGATGGTGGAGTGATGAGCAGTTAGGGGGTTAGGTGTCTTGCTCAAGGGCACATCGGCAGTGCCCAGGATGTGGAACTGAATACAATGAAAAGTGACGGTCATGAGCCTCTATACAGTACACCATTCTTTCATTTACAGAGACACATTTTTTTGGTTAAGGTAAAACTGTGTCCCTGTGTTATCTCTTGAATTGACAACAATGTGCTAACACCACAAAAAGGATATAAATAAATACAGTTCCTCGCACTTACTGTGACTATCATTGGTGTAGGATTTTCTTCTGTATTGATGGAAAGCCTTGCCATGCCATTGACTGAAGTGGTGCCCCGCACCTCACCCGGATGCACTACCACTCTGACATTTTGTGCTGGAGTGCCATCAGGGTTTACAACTTCAATCTGCCATCAAAGAAATAAATAGCTGAATAGTCAAAAACATATAACTATCTAATGAAAGTAGCACAATCCATTGCATGTTATTATGGAAATATAAACAGATCCATGATAGATGCAATCATATGTTTTTTATTTCTTTTTTTCTAACTGCACATTTCTGTATATTTCAACATCGTAAATGAAGGAAACCAACGATTCTTGAGACTTAAAGGAAGGTTTGAATTGATTTGAATGCCGATATTTCCTGTTTTCAGTTGAGGTTTCGTTTCCAATGCCAAAGTAAATTAGAAAAGTAATAATATTCATAATCATTGAAGTAATACAAAGTGTGTAAATTTTACTTTTATGATGTGAAAGGAGAAAAATGCCACATTAGTAAAA